AAAAGACTTAGTTATTAACATATCCTGCGGCAACAGGTTATGGGCCCAGGACCAAATATCGTCCGATTATTCGTTATTAGTTTCGATAAGACGAGAAATTAACGCGGAAGCCGTACGCGGAAATATAACCTCTTTACGGACACAATGGATGGACCAACAACAAGTATATTGCGCATACCAATGCTATCCAGGGATAACTACGATATACCTGGAGATTAAGAATACAGGCTCTCATGACAAAGAATAAAACTTGTGCCTAGCGCAAGCGGTGAAAGACCCGAACCGCAAGCAGCCGAAAGTCTACAAGCGTGGAAAGACGAGGACGAGAAAGCGAAAGCCGATTTGTACTTAGCGGTCGGTGACGCCGAACTCAAGCAAATCAGAAACTGTACAACAGCTCGGGAAATTTGGCTGAAGCTGGATTCGATTTTCGAGTCAAAAGAACCTGCGAAAAAGGCATCACTGTGGAAACGGCTAATGAGTCATCGACTCGGCGAAGGCGTCGATGTACAGCGGCACGTCGATGAATTCTTCGATATAGTCGACAAATTGTCTGAATTATCCGTGCAGGTCAGTACCGAATTACAGTCCATTATGCTTCTACATAGTCTACCGGACAGTTTTGGAAATTTTAGATGCGCTATCAAGTCGAGAGACGCATTACCTCTCCCGGAACATCTGAAAATTAAAATCCTCGAAAGTGCAACAAGAAGACAACGCAATCAAACCGATGACCAAGCAATGTTCGTTCGGAAAGGAAAACCGAATAAAAGAAAGACCACGAATAAAGCAACCAACAGAAAAGCCGATAGGGTGGAAGATCATCGTTCCAGCGGGACATTCAAATATAAATGTCATCGATGTCGTCAAGTTGGTCACAAGGCCATTAATTGTCTCGAGAAAACCGAACGAAATGTGAAAGGCCCCGAAAGCAAGGAAAAGGCCGCCATCGGTGAGGATATTTCTTTCTTAACCTCCCATGTTAACACTGATTATTGTTTCGCAGGAAATGCTCGGAGAAACGATGCATGGTGCCTCGATAGCGGATGCACATCACATTTATGTCGTGATGAGAATAAATTCCAGGAAATTATGCACTGATAATAAAATCGATGATAAAATTGACTATAATTGTATAGTAAAAAAATTATAGTCGGGATACTCATTTTTATAGTAAATTCTACTATAATACTAGTAATATCAACCATATATGCATGGTACCGAGAAGCAATAAAACTTTTTACTATAGATTGTAATAATTTTGAATCTTATATAGTAAAAATGAAGGAAAAAGGAATAGTACATAATTGTACTATTCATATATAGTCATCGCAATTTTAATAATAGAAAGTGTTACTATATTGTTATCGGTCACTTAGATATTAATATAGTAATAATAAGTAAAGAAAATTATAATAACAGCTATATCTCAATAGTAGGTGGGACCTTATTAATAGCATATTTAACAATATTTGTAAATTAACCTTACATGTGGTATTACAAACAAAAAGTGCATGTACGGTGTATGTGTGTCTAATTTATTATGATTTATGATGATTAATATTTCTTATTAATTGTTAGTTGTATTTAATTGTAAGATTCGGTTACGGTTATATTACGGACAGCCGAATCGAGCAATGCTCGAACGATTGGTCGAATCTTTAGGTTACGGTTACGATTATGATGTGTGACCGGCTTTACGTGTCCTGTGTACAAGAGCCCTTATCATGAGCATATCTCCACCACCCCCTTTTCGGATGAGCCGCGTCCTCTATATCACGCTGGCAAAGTGATCGAAGTGACCGATGAGAGTGAACGTTAAAATAAAGTGCGCATATTTGAAGAATAGAATAGTTATTGTGCTATCTCGTGTTGTTGGACTATCAAAGTCTACCAAAATAGAATAAGATTTTTTGGACATGCACGTAGCATGTAAATGGCTTAAGTATCTAATTGCGAAATAAGCATAGAAGACACGTGCGTGCTTGTTCGAACACGATCTACCGAGCAACAGTTACCGGCGTAAAAGCAGTGTGTAAGTGCGTACGCATTTATCGTCACCATATCAAGAAAATACGTCGTTTACAGACAAGTAAGTTGTATTGAAATAATGTATATGTACTCATTTGTACAACGATAGTACGGCGAGTACTTTTTTCTCTAACGCACTTCTGGGCACATCTGATGTATAGAATATGTTTATGAACATTACGTATTAAAGTGTTTCTGAAAAAAGTGAAGTTTTGCAAGCGGGTATACTATAAAGTATTCTTTATTAAATTTTAATTTTAATAAATCTAATTGTTTGCTTTTCTCTCTCATAATTGTTTTTATTTGCATGTAATATTGTAGGTTGAACGTTTCATTTCAATTTTTTCTATCGCATAATGTCGCATTCTTACGAGGAAAAATTAGAAGAGTGGGGTCTTTCAGAATATACACAAAAATTTAAAGGTTAATTAATTTTATTAACTTTTTATTTCAACTGTAGAATATAATTATAATTATGTTGCATTTTGTATTTGTTTAGATGAGGGCATAGATGAACAGGCATTTCTATACATGCCCGAATATATGATAAAAGAATTAATCCCTACAATTGGAAAACGTTTTCGTTTTCTTGAAAATCGTAAAAAATTACTTACAATTGCAAAGGAAAATTCAGTAAGATCGGTAAGATAATTTATACTTTTTGTAAGATCCTATTTCTATTGGAAATAATAATTTTTGCAAATATAGATTGGCAAATAGGAATTACCAAGTTTATAAAAATATTAATTCTATATTTTGTCTCCTTTGAATTTTTGATAAGTTAATTTATAAATAACATCGCTGTAGGAAACTTCAACGGATTTGGCTACAAGTGATATCGAAGAAACTGTCAGTATAGGTAGCTGTTCTTCCAAGGAGTCAAATGACAATCGTGGACAAGTATGCATTTTTATACGAACTTTGCAATTATATTCTTGAAACTTTATCATGTTTAACTTTTTCGAAGTAGGCAAGTATTACGTAATCCTAAAATTTTGTGTTATTTTGTATTACTTTAATATTTTTTTTAGATTCTAAAAGAATTGCTTTTCGAATCCAGTTGTGGTCGAAAAATATTGACGCAAACACGTTTGACTGCATCAGACAGTAATAAAATAAGTCATTTCATTATAGACAAACTTCTTTGCAAATCTATGTTTTTTATCACTTATTAATTTCATTCTAATGGGATGTTGTAGAGTAAGTTCGGCAGATTTCCAGAAATGGGCTGAAGAAATAGTCAGCCTTTTTAAATGCGAAACAATATCGACATATTATGTTCCAAGTAATGCAAAACAAAAACGTCTTGCTAACGGAAAACTGTGGGACAAATACAACAATCTAAAAAGATACATTAAGAAACAAACAATCGTTGAAAACAAAGAGAACACTACAGAAAGTCCTGATTATGAAGAGGCATTGCTTACATTGCGAGCAATTCAGCCAAATGACCCCGCTCTTCTAAAGCTTTGGGAAGAAACGTTTAGCGCAAGAAGGAAAGGGACTTCGATTGCTCAATATTATGACGAATATCCTATTTTAAAAAGTTCGATTGCTACCTCACTGATAATTTCATATCAAATTTGTATGTGTATGTGTGTACGGGTACGCGTGTGCGTACGTGCACGCAAACGCGGTATAATATAATTATAAATCCTTCTAATGTCAATTATTACACATGTAATGTCAATTATTACAGATACGTATTGATTGTGGCATTGCAACAGGAATTGATACGCTTATTTTTCAAAAAAAGTGGCCTGAAATTTGTCCATACGTAATACAGATAGCTGAGAAGAAATATGCATGCCCAGCATTGTGTGAATTGAAACATGGTATATACATTACGCGCAAAACACATACACACACACTGTCACTTGAAATCTTTTTGCTTATAACAATGAATATGTACATAAAATATATGAATATATTGTTTATAATAATAAAATACAAAATGAATATGTGATTTGTTTTATGAAATATTATATACTTTATATGGTAAAAAATTTAATGCAAGAAGCTTGACACAACTCTTACAGCACCGAACAATGCAGTAAGATTATAGGGAAGTTACAAACTTACATATTTTAATGAACATATTACTGGTATATACCAGTACTATACTGGTACAGTATATGTTTCTACTATACTATACACTAACCTTATAGTATATTGTAAGTTTAATAGATATACTTTATTTATTGGTAAGAGAATACAGTCTGAACCGATCGGAGTTTGCTAATCGCGTTTAACTATCTCGACCACTACTGTAAGATTCTCAAAGATTTCTCTCCTCGTGGTCGCTGAGCTACGCGGTTTTATACTCGACTTCTCGTCTCCTTCTTAGTTCGATATCTATCGATATGCCTCGTGGCGTGACCTTATTCGCTCTTGTCGGCCCGACATATCTCGAACTCGAACGGATCTTATACTTAACGGGTGTTCTAACCGCATGTTTGGTAACGGGTGCCCTTAATGTAACTTCCATCTTACAGCTCGACCATCCTGACGAGTTATTCGTCTCGAATGACTTAATCTAATACAATCTTTTGAACATATTAATCGCCTTATTAATTAAGTGTTTGTACGGAACATTTTTCAGTCTTTGGTGTCCTTATACTAGTTTGTTACAATGGTTTTATCCATGGTTTTAGTTTATCTGGCGAGAGAATTGAATTATAGGGCCTGGAGGATACGTTAAAACCTGGTATGTCCTGTACGACGTACCTATTTTTGTCTAGTACTTTAGTTATGACGTAAGGTCCCTTGTAACTCGGTTTCAATTTGGCGCTTTGTCCTGGCTTTACGTGGAGATCCCTAATCATCACGTACTCGTTAGTTTTATATTTAGTTGGCTTTGCGTGCCTGTTATCGTAATATTTTTTATTATAATCACGAAGCGACTTGGTTGCTTCCTCCGCTATCGTATAATTCGATTTTAGATTTAAATTATCTTTTATACTCGCATTTTTTTTAATTAATTCTACGAGGGTTTTGTCTGCGTTATTCCTACTGTCGTACCCTAAGAGTAGTTTACTCGGTGTACACTTAATCGCAGAATGCCTAGTGTTATTTATCACATACTATGCTTTATCTAATTTCTCTTTCCAATCATTCGGGGAATCAACCAACTTTTTAAGCGTAGATTTAAGAAATCTATTTATTCTTTCTACTAGGCCGTTAGCCCACGGGGCCGCAACAGCAACTTGACGGTGTTTAATTTTTAAAGATTCTAAAAAATGAGCAAATTCATTAGATGCGAAGGCCGTTCCTCTATCCGAAACTATTTCTCTCGGGTTGCCAAAAATGTTAAGTACCGATTTCAGATGTTTAATTACTTCTTTCGTGCATGTAGATTTTGTAGGAAAGAGCCATGTAAATCTCGTGAATGCATCTACTATAACCAGAACATGTTTATAGCCGTCTTCCGTCTGTTGTAAGGGGCCAAAATGATCTAAGTGTAAGGTCTCGAATGGCTTGGTTGATTGCCCTGTATCTTGAATTTCTCCCTCACTGGAATGACGAGATGCATTCGCTGTGAGGCAAGTGATACAATTGTCTATATGATCGTATATTTTTTTCCGCATCGACGGAAACCAATAGGAGCCGAATATGCCTTGAAACGTTTTTTCAGAGCCGCAGTGGCCCATATCATCGTGGTAAATTCTTATTATATTGTTAATCATAGAGTCCGGTACAACAAAACGTGGACGGTCAGTCGCTTTTTTATAAAGTAATCCCTCTATCAACTCGAATTTTTCATTGTCCGAATACTTGTTGGGCACAACTCGAATTTTTCATTGTCCGAATACTTTAATTGTTGGGCAATGCTTTTCAATTGTGAGTCTTGAAGTTGTTTACACTCCATTTCTCTCTCGAGTGGCATTGATTCTATATATGCTATTTGGCGACTGAGAGCGTCGACGTGTGTCATACGTTGACCTGGTCTATGTGTCGTTTTGAACTTATAGTTTTGAAGGCTTAACGTCCATCGAGCGATTCTGGGGTTTAGATTTGCTTTGTTCACTGCGAAGACCAACGCGTTGCAATTTGTTACAACGGTAAACTCTATTCCATACAAATAAATGTGAAATCGTTCTATTGCGCGGACTATCGCCAGCATTTCGAGTTCGAAACTGTGATAATTTCTTTCCGCTTGGTTTGTTGCTTGACTGAAAAACGCGATAGGAGCCCAGTTATTATCTTTTTGTCTCTGTAATAATATCGCTCCCAAACCTTGTACACTTGCGTCAGTATGTAATTGAGTCTCCGACTGCGGATTGTAAATAGCTAGAATTGGGCTCGTCGTTAATTCATTTTTTAATGTTTCTAGCGCCCGTACACAGTGTATATCGAAATCGAAATGTGTTGTCTTTTTTAACAGATTATACAAAGGTTTGGCTTTATCAGTATAACCTTTAATGAATTTACGAAAGTAATTGGCTAATCCCAGAAATCGCTGGACTTCGAGCACATTTTTCGGTTGCGGGAAGCTTTTTATGGCTTCAACATGTCGCGTACTTATAGTAATTTTATTCGCTGATATAATATATCCTAAATATTCTATCTCTTTCTTAAGGAATTGACATTTATCAAGATTTAATTCGAAATTATAACGCTTCAATTGGAATAATACTTCACGCAGTATTTCTAAATTTGTTTCTACCGTTTCAGTCGCTATCATAATATCATCGATATAAACAATAACCTTGTCTTCTCTTATTAACGGTTGAAGTATGTACACAAGTCGTTTTTGGAATTCGGCCGGTGCCTCGCAATAACCGAATGGCAAACGTGTATACTCATATTGCCCGTCTGGGGTCGCAAAAGCGAAATATTTCGTATGATCTTTATGTACCTTAATTTGGTTGAAGCCGTCTTTTAAGTCTAACAGCGTGAAAACAGCTTTATTCCCTAATCGCGCTACGCAATCTTCGATTAGCGGGAATGGGTATTTTTGTTTCGAAACTCTCGAATTTAACGGACGTAAATCAACACACAATCGTAACGATCCATTTTTCCTTTTAACTGGGACTATTCTCGCGCAGTAAGGGGAAATGCTTTTTTTGATAATACCGCGAGCTAACAGATCGTCTACAATCTCGCGTATTTGATTTTTCTCTGCCCATGCGAAACGACGCGGGGCATACGCGTAAACAGAATCGTCTCTCAGCGTGACTTTTATTGAAAAATCGTCATTTACGGCGATTGCCGTTGAGCTATTAACGTCCAATATTAAATCTTTTAAGCTATTTTTTGCCAATAAGTCAAAGTCAATTACGATATCTTTTATCCTATCCTCTAAGGAGTTGGTAACTTGGCACGCTAATAATTGCAAAAGCGATATAGGGAAATCCTGAGCATTCTCTTTTATTTTCAACGAACTCGGATTAAAAATCGCGGTTATTTTTTGATCATTTAAGAAATCACGACCAATAATTAAATCCGCTGCTATACTTTCTTCCCGTAAAACATGTAACGTAATTGCTAGCTGCAAATAAGGTAATTGCTCTAATGTTACCGTAGTTTTTATTGATCCCAAAACTTCAATCGGTTTATTATTTAAGGCTTTAAATGAGAAACCTGAAGGGCTTTGAAATTCGACCGAATGCTCCAAAAATTTCTTGTGTACATTTGCTTTTATAAAAGAAAGCGGACTACCGGTGTCGACGAGCGCGAATAATAAACAGTCTTTCTTATTTAACCTTGTTATCTTTGCTAGCGCGTCGAGTATTGTGAGATTCCTGCCGTTGTCGAACTGAACAACAGCAACTGTCTCCTCATCCTTCGGTGTTACTCCTGTTGATGATACTGCTGCTACCGGTGCTGTTTGTGCTGACGTGGCTGTTTATTCCTTCCTCTTTAATTTGAAACAGTCCGCACGAAGGTGACCCGGTGTTTTGCAGTATGCGCAAAAAGTGAAGGACTTCCTACAGTCCTTTTGCTGATGCCCTTGTTTTCCACAGGATCCACAACTGTTTGCTGCTTCCTTGGATTTGAAGGCTTTTGGAGTCTGTACCGGTTTTCTGTCAGCGTCCTTCGATGCCTCTGTGATTTGATGCATCGTTTCTAGGAAATGGTCAACAGAATCATTTTTAAGAGAAGTTGCTATTTCCCTTAACGACCTGCTACCAATCCCACTAATTAAAAGGTGGATGGTACTATCCGTTGATAAATCTAAGTTATGTATCAACGTTAATTTATCCATCGCGTATTCCAAGAAAGATTCCCTGGCGTAATTCCATCTACGGGCCTCGATTTTTTGCATGGCCAGATAGTATAAGACCTTTCTCGTGAATCTTTTAAGAATGGCCTCCCGGAAGCCTGTCCAGGATTCTAGCATCGAGCCCGAGCCCAGATCGTACCAGCGTCGAGCCGTTTTGACTAACCTCGTTCGTCGATGCGAGGAACGTAATGTCCTCGTGTGCGCCGTGAATGCGAGATATCTGCTCAACACGTTTAACCCATAGATCCACGTTTTCGTCTTTTTGGCCTCCGAACTCCGGAATTTGCGATGCCAACATCGAGACGGCGTGTGTAGACGGTGCAGCCAATATCGCTGAATGCTGTGACTGACCCTGACTCGAAGGTGATGGGGCTTCTGATCTCGGCGGTCTCGGTTGATACGACGCTCCTTGATTCGGCTGATCCTGCTGTTGGTTCCTCGTAAGGGGTTGTAGCATTTGTCGGAGCAGCTCCTGCTGCTGTAGATGCTGTTGTAGCATGGCCTGCTGCATTTGCTGCATCTGAGTGGTAATCGCTGTCGCTAACGCGTTCATCGCGACTCCCGAATGATCCTCCTGAGCCTGAGAGG